TAAAAACGCTTATTAAAAATTTAAAAAGTCGTCCGATAACTTTGGAAATTTTACCACGTCTAGGTAAGTTTAATATAAGTATTATTATCAAGTTTCAAGTCTATACGTGTATTTATAACCAGATTACAGCAAGAAAATTCCCAAAAATTAAAATTCCTAAAGCTCAATAGTTTTGGCGATGTTACCGTGAGAAAGTAAATCCAAAAGGTAACAAAAAAGGTGTTTTTTCGATTGAACCTTTTTTCTGATAGAAAACGTCGACCGTGTTTTGACAAAATAATGAAATAGTGAAATTTTACGTTTTCCTACGTCTTTTCCCACTTAAGTGCATTTATTTAAAAAAAATGGCGTCGATGGTCAAAAAATGACTTCTTTAAAGTACCATTTAGACAACTAGAGCTTTCAGAAAAGTTGCGTAAAAATCTCAGCAAGTTTACTAGATTAAAACGTGTCCACACACTAGAGAAATAAGAAAAAAAAAAACCAATAGCTCCCTCGCTACGCTCGAAATCTGATATTACGCGTGCGCACGAAAAACGCGATACCGATAGTGTTATATACTCGGCGGAAATACGTTTTTTAGGTTTTTCCGGCCGCAGCTTAAAACATCGTATTTTTTTATTTTTTTTAAGATTCCGAGCATAGTATACGTATAGTATATGCGAGTGTTCTTTTTTTCCCTGTACGTTAACAATTCTTCTACCGGTATTCTTGTTCTGACCGATGTCAACATTAAGTGTGGTTTCTGGTGGCGGGTTTGGTCTAGGTGCTGCGTTTGACGTAATTTTTCGATTTTCCTTGTAATTTTCCCAATAATTAGGGATAGACCGTAGGAATAACGGACAAATAGTCTACAATAACAATTTTTGTTATTTTTTATTTCGGTTTTGGTTCCGAGAGTAGCTGGAAATTTATTGGTTTTACTATGATGTCGGATTATTTTCGCTGTCTGTGCAATTAATTTTACTACCGCTTCAAGAATTGACCATAGACCATTTTTGTTGAGTTTAAAATTTACTTAACTGGTATATTGAGGAGGTAATTTTTTTATTTTTCCAAGCGGGGTTTTCATAGTTATTTGGAAAAAAACGGAAAACAAGGAATTCGAAAAATGGGCAAATATATTTATTGCATGCTGTGGAGTTAGCGATTTTATTTAATTTATTTTTTTTTACATTTTTATGGTTTGATTTTTCTACCAGAAATCTTACACTGAAATTCCAGCGTGGCCAGAAGTATCTAGATCGTTTTTTCAGAAAGCGTATTTTGTTCATTTGGTGCGTAAAAAAGTCGTTGTTTGATTTTCCGTGTATTTTTCTCAGTAATTGGACAAAACAGAGAAAAAACGAAGAAGAAGCCGAAAGTTTACAGAAATAACGATCATATTATTTTCAATTTTTTAAAACATTCTGGCCATTTGTTGAGCTATTTGTAAGCGCCTGCAAACGTTTTCGAGTTTTTTTTTTTATTTTTTCTATGACGTAGTTATTAGATAGGTATATATACAAATGTTTGTCCAAACAGAAATGATTGAAAATTGAACACGGTGTTCAGACAGTCGATAATGGATATAATGTATCATATATCGGATGAAGTAGGCAATTAGTTTCGTAACAATAAACATAATTAAATAAAATCAAAATATTATGATTACGGCAAAACATGTGTATTATACCGGCGCAATACAGGTAATTGTAATGTAATAATAAGACCTCCTATCAATTATAATTGAAATCGATTAATGCGGTTAAGACAAGAGCATGATAAGTGACGAAATTATATTAACAAATAGTTTTAAAAAAAAAAAAAAAAAAACCAACGCATGATACGTGTCGTTATAGCACAATCATTTAGTACGAGGGTTGTCCCAAAAGTAATGCCCAATTTGCTCTGAATAAATAAGTTTTTATTTTAAACTTAATACAATATTATAGACCTTCGATATAATCTCCCTGCTTGTCTATACACGATTGCCATCGTTTCGGGAGCGCTTGAATGCCGCATAGGACGCCATCTTTGTTGAGATCACGGATCCTTCGGCTCACTTCTTCATTTAGTATATCTAAGTTGGGAAAACGGATCCCTCTAAGTGGTTCCTTCAGTTTTGGAAATAAATCAAAGTCCGGGGGACTTAAATCCGGTGAATACGGTGGGTGTTTGAGGCGTTCCCATCCATATTTCTCCAAAAGAGCGACGACTGATATGCGGCCGCGCATTGTCGTGCAATATGGACACACCATTTTGTAACATTCCTGGTCGCAATTTTTTGGCAAGGAATGTTTTGTAGTAATCCCCAATTACACTACTGCCAATTGGAACTCGATCAGTGACAATTATCCTAAGTTTATCGTAAGCAAAAATCATCATTTGTTTCACCTTTGTTTGCTGAGTTGTTATCAATACTTATACGACCATCACGGAATCGCTGATGCCATCTTTGCACCGTACTACGATCCACAGTATCCGTTCCACACACTTCATTTAACGCGGCATGAATTTCAGGCACTGTTTTACCACGAATCGTTTCGATTTTAATGTATGCGCGTTGCTCAAAAACAGAAATGTGAGCCGACGAATTGTTCTCACTTTCGTTATCGCTCTCACACATCATCATACTTTACTAAAACAACTAAAACTGAAAACGCACGTGTTCGTTAGACTTCAAGCTACAAACTGATACTAAAATCAGCTAATAATATCACATTGCAAGACAGCTAGAGCGCGCTGTGCATTACTTTTGGGACAATCCTCGTATATTAAAAAAAAATGTTATTTTAAATTATACGTAAAAAATAGAAACACTTTGCACGATGGATGGGCCACTGTTGTAGGTGAGAAGCTGGGTAAGGTTGAGAGGAAATTTAATGTATATCTAATGCAAAACGATTCTGAGCGGTGTTCGGTTTTACACGTTTGGAAAGGCTGTAATATTTGCGATTTGAAAATAATACGTTTCGTAAACTTTCCGGGTTTTATTATTTACTATGAAAACTCTTGGGAAAATTACTGTCTTCAAATACCTCCCCAGTCATATTTCCTTTCCTACACTTTTGAGAAAATCTGAGCAAAATTTAAAGTTTCTGTTAGAAAAGTTATTCACAGAAAAAAATAAAACAACATCATTGTAAAACCAATACATTTCTCGCTACGCTTAGAATCTAAAATCACGAACATTTTTCGAGTCACCTATCCATGTACAAACTTTATAGTAATTATACGTCTCTGTTTTCGAGATGAAAATGCAGGAACTTTTATTACTATTATTGCGTCCTTGCGTATTCTCTATGTATAATTCGTGTCATTCTTGGAACAATTTTTAGCAGAGGTTCTCAAAGTGTGGGTCGCCGTCATATTTTTAGTGGATCGCGTTATATTTTTAAATAATACATTTTTTCGATCCTGTATATAGCGAGTAATATACTGTTTTTAAAATGACGTTTAATTTAGCGAACAACAAGGAAATCGAACTGGGGAGGTACTTTAGAAAAGTAATTACATTTTTCCGGAGAGTTTTTTTATTATATTGTAAAAACAGGAAAAATCTTGACGAAAACTAGGAAAACGTACGAAATTTAGGTATAAGTGAAAAAATATTACGGCCTTTATATTTTTTCCGTGAACAAATTTTCTACCAGCAAATTGGATCTATACTTGCAAATGAGAGTATGCGACTGAACAAAATTCATGAATCATCCAGTAATGTAAACTAAACCTAAACAAAATGGCCATTGATATTATTATGGGTCGTCAAAATTTAAATTATTTCCAAAATGGGTCGTTAGTTTTTAATTTTTAATTTAGTTTTTGTTTTTTGTTGCTGATTACAGATTTTTTGCGTTATGATGTGTCCAAGCTCGAAGTTAGTTCGTTGTTTTTGTAGCTCTTCGATCGAAGTAAAAATGTTTGTAATATTCCGGATTTTTACATGAAAAATCTGTTTGCGTTTTTTGAGACTGCGATCTGTCGGCGAATCGGGACTTTTTCCATTATTGTTGGATACCTACCGGTTTACGCGTTGATGGAACGAGTGGGCGACTAGTCGCGCCTGAACCGTTGTTTAATAAACCTCGGAATAAATCCTAAGTAGGTTTTTAAAAAAAAAAAAAAAAAAAAAAAAAAAAAAACATCCGTACTAAAAACGAAATTTGCCGCGGTGAATAGCGCTATTCACAATATTAATAGAACGGGTATAGCATGTATAGGTATCAGATATTCGACTATTTTTTTTTTTTTTTTTTTATATATATATATTTTTTCAGTTCGCCAAAGCATAAAACTCGAAACGCGCATCGCGCGTCGTTTTCGATCCGGCCCGCGATGTTTGTTCGCCGACTCGCTGACGTGTTTGTTACTGTGTATAATGTGCGTGTTAACCTACGAAACTCATTTATATATACACACACACACACACGCCATAAACCCGACATAACCCGTTGTGTACGTATGTGTGTGTGTGTGTGTGTGCAATAAGTTTTGTTTTGTACCACAATGGTCCGATAATCGGTGTTGGAATGCGGCGTTTCTGGTTCGCGCGCGGGCGCTTAATGTCGGTCGCGACCGCACTTGTCGCTGTTTAGACGCGCCCGCGGTACGCGTTACGCGTACTCCGCCGTGTCGTGGCCCGGGGACCTTTCGCGCGCAACGGTCGCGTCGGTTTAGCGTTCGACGAGTAGGACGCATCGTTCATTCGTTCCGAGTGATCGCCGCGCGCGCGCGCGCCGAACGTTCACCGGCCCACACCGCGCCGCGAACCGTTGTCGATAAAAACCGTTTGTTTTTACTTTCCGGGGCTGGAGGGGCGGATGGGGGGGGGCGTTTGCCGAGCGGAGCGACGGGCGCGTCGGTTTTTGCTGCGATGCGTGTTTTTTTTTTTTCCGGTTTCGCGTCCGCGCAAACGTCTTCGCACGGCGGCGTACGGGAACACTCTCGCGGGATTCTCGCGGCCGGGCGGCCGGTCATTCTGTCGACGATTATTTCCCCGCGCGGTTTTCTCGATAACAAACGAAAACGCGAAAATAACACTGGCAATCGTTGTCCGTACGATTTTTCCTCCCGATCTCCGGATCACGCCGGCCGGCCGGAGAATCGCGTTACGTTAGCGCACAGGTTTATCGTTGTGCGCGCAGTTTCAAACCGAATTACCGTCGTGTTATCCGGTTCTCCGTTCCCACTCGCATTCTTAAATACCCATCGGGGCAGTGTCGGCCTTTGTGTCTTCTTATCCGTACACTCGTTTTTGATAAAGATATAAGAAACGTTTACGCTGTTGTCACGACGTTTTCGTTGTTTACTTAAAAAAAAAAAAAAAAAAAAAAAAAAAAATGTAGGTTTCGGGAAATGATTGAATTTATTTATCAAAGTGAATTTTTCGCGTAATAAAATGTTGATTTTGCCATCACCGAATAACATATTCATGCTCGGTACTCGATACGCGAGACTCTCCGATTGGTTTTATGTGTGTTCCGTATGTAATAATAATAATAATAAAAAAAAAAAAATCAAATCAAATCACAATGTAATGTTCGACGTATCCGTTGAATTTCTATTGATCATCAATCAAATCCATTCGATGCGTAATAATTGTTTATTCAACAGATATTCGAAATTCTGTATCGTCGCTCGGCATCGCGGGATTTAATTGAAAATAAACCGTTTTCCATATGCGCGGTCGTTGAATTATTTAAATGGTCCGCTATTTCGAAAAAAAAAAAAAAAACGGCGAAACGGACCGAAATGTAATTGACAATAATACTCGAAATATCGTCAAAATTACGGCGCGTATGTTAACGTATGCTGTTTTATGGGCAGAGGCGGAACGGGTACTAATTTCAGGCCGGGCGATTGAAATTTATCCGGGCCGCCCGAATACAAAATTTATACGCGCCGATCGAACACGCCGCGTTTTAATTCGATCCCGCAAAACAGCGTAAAATATTTTTTTCATAACCTAGTTCACAATTCATTTGTAACGATTCCCCCACGGCCGTTCACCGGTTCTCCGCGCCTCGGGTCCATCTCAACTCTATAGCTAATCGAAGAACGGACAAATGACGTCATGTCCCTCCAGAATCTTGTTGGCGGTTCGGCCGACGCGCTCCATTTCCCCGTCCCCTGATCGACTCCCGAATCCCATTTGCGCGTCCGACCCGCTCTATCGTTCCGTTCACTATTTTTAAACGTTTTACTGACTACAACCGTCGGAATAATAATCCAATCGACCGTGTATATGATGCGCCTCGCTAACACTACTCACCCTGCGTCCCCGTCTTAAACCGTCTACCTGAACAGTTCCGTATCGCTTTAACCGACTACAGTTGCGCTTATGCAAATTCACCATCCGCTGTGCTTCGGGTCCAGCCCGTATTTCATAAAGCAATAAAGTGTGTACACCGGGACGGTCCACGGTTATAGAAGAAGGACAACAATTGTTATCGATGTCTGAACATCGTATAAAACGGTGTAAATCCTATGTGCAACTGTTGTTCGTTGTATTATTTTTCGAAAATAAAATATTTTGTCTCTAACCAGTCTAGCCGTTTGAAAAATCGTAAAAAAAAATTGATTTTTGCAAAAAAAAATTAAATATTCTATGTTTTATTGTTTTTCTTGAATTTAAATGAATTTACGAGAAATTTGGTCGTAACATTTTTATGTACACTATAAAGTTCTATAAATAAGGTCCTTTATATTCTTAGTGCGATATGGTTTTAGAATCAAATTAAAAAAAAACTAAAAAGATAACCCTTTTTGGCAATATTCAATTCTTTATGGACGCGTGATAGGAGTGAGTTATTATAATGACCGAATTTCGCCTAAATTATTTTCTCATAATACTGCACAAAATATGGATGAGGGTGAGATATCGATAAATTAAAAGTTAGGTTAGGTTACCGTTCCTGAACGAAGTTCGGTTACGCATCACGTTTTGAAAAGCCGTAGTATTTACGATTTTCGTCAAAATTTGATTTTAAAACTCTTATAAAAAAAAATGGAAACTATTACATTATACTACATTTATAGGTGCACAACTTTTTTTTTTTTTTTTTTTGACCACTAGGGATAATGACGCATAATGAATCTCCTGTCAAATTTTCAACAATTTCCGTCAAGTCTAACAATTGTATCTTCAGATTACATATCAAATAAAAATTGCGTAAAAAACTCGCAAAATTCAAGTGTCCATAAATAGCTCAAAAAAATTATTTGATTGAACTCGTTCAGTTTCAGTTGTCGTTCAATACGCCGCCGTAGAACTAAAATCGGTGTACGACGGTTAAAATCAACGTGTACAACTTTCGCAGTAAACGGTTTTGTTTGATGGATTTTAGTTTTCGCGTTAAGTTTTGCCGTGCGATATTTACGTCGCGTATTTTTTTTCTATCTGTAAATAAATAAAAAAAAGTTTTCGCTTAGGAATCGGCGGCGGTGGTTTCGAGTGGCCAACACGTTCCTCGTTACGCTCGAAATCCATAAGGGGCGTTTCGGAGCTTTTAAACGCGCGGGCCCGCAGCGGAGTGGAGACGTACGATAATTGACTTATTCGAATGGCTGTACGACGTGTACTACACCGAAAATAATAATGAACTTACAGCGATGTGGCGAGAGGATGGGGGGCGGGAGGCAGGGCCGTCCGCGCGTCGATTATGTGCGGCGGGCGGGCGGGCGGGTTACGGGACGCGGGGTTTTAAGGGCGGGTAACGGCCGGGGAGACGACGACGACGACGACGACGACGAGAACGGATCACGAGGTTTCCGCGGCGGGTTAGGCGGGGCGAGGACATTTATCCTCGTATTATATATATTACGTTGCGGACCATCAAAGGCGCGCGTAGGCGGCGGCGGTGTAGGGCAGGTGGTCGGGCCTTCGCGATGGTGGCGGCGGCGGCGGCGGCGGTGGCGGTGTCGTGTCCCGGCTGATCGATAAAGGCCGCGCGGCAAATCATCCTGAAGGCTGCCGCCGCCGCCGCCTCCGCCGCCTTCCGCCCGCGGTCACCGCCTATATAAAGCGCGACGTCTGTGCGCGCCACTGCCATACGCTGCGGCAAGACGTCCGCGAAATACGCATCGCGCGGCACTCGAGAGTCAAACGGAAAAGCCACATCGGACCCCCCCCCTCCACTCCCATCGTCCACCGCCCCGCCCCGGCGGTCGTCGTCCCGATATCGTTGTTCACACGCCGCTGGCGCGCGCGGCCGACCGACCACCGGCTGGCTGTTCGAATTTCGGCCGGTATCCGCGGCCGCGGCGTTGACGGGGTCTTTGTTGTTGCGTACACTCTCTCCTTCTCCGTCTCTCTGTTTGTCTTATCAACACGCCTGCAGTAATGACGCGTCCGCGCGCATCCGACTCCCGATAAACGCCGCGTGGCGTCGGCGTTGGCGTTTATCGGACGGACACACGAAAAACTTCGCGCACACCGGCCCTTATTCCGGGACGCCGCCGTCCCGCGTCCTCCGCGCCCACCGCGTCCCGCCCTTTTTTTTCCCGCGCGCGCGTGTCTGTCACCGGCGTCCGCGTCGGAAAAGTCAAACGTCAAGGGTCGTCGTCCGGTCATCGGCTACGATGTATAAATACCGCGACCGTAACGCCGCCGACCGAAAGTTTCGCGTTCTCACCGTCCCGCGTGGCCCCGTCGACACTTTCCGGCCGTTATAACGCGACTTTTGACTTGTCCCGCGACTGTAATTTATATAATACATTATTATTGCCTGTACACGCGGGGCGTTTCTTAAACGAACGGGTGGGGCGACCGTCGTCGTTCTCGCCAACAATTTTATTACCGCGACCACGGAGATGTGTTCGATTTTCGTATAGTGGGGGTAGCAGCCGAACTTATTTTTCCGACCGTCTAAATTACAGTTTGACAACCGTTTTGAGTTAACCGTTCTAATTGACATCCTAAAAATGTTTTTTTTTTTTTTTTTTTTTTTTTTATAAATAATTTTACCTTTTAAGTAATCATAACTGTCGTAATTAAATGTACGTTAAAAATTTGTTCAAACATTTCTTGCGATTCGGTAAATCACAACAGTAAATCAACAGTATTTTAAACGGTCGGTTATGACAGAATAACTATTGTTGCGTAACTTAAAAAAAAAAAAAAAAAAAAAAAAAAATATTACATTCCAGAAATTGTTTTATTTGTATATAGTCTTCGAATGCGTTTTGAGTATTAACAAGTGTTTTGGTAATATTGCATAGAGATAACTATTATACGCGTGTATTGCAGTTCGTATACTTCAATATCAACGGTGCATATCGAATCCGCATATCGAAATCCGCATACAGCACTGGTTAAAGGTTTGTAATTACAACGACTAGAGGTTCTCAAACAATAACATAGGTAAAAATAGATTCGACGGAAACGAAAATCAAACTTCGCTCAGAATCGTTTTTCGTTGGTTTATCGTTGCTTACTGATATAAATTTTAATAAAACTTTATGTATCCTAACATCACAACTTCCCACCTATATAATATTGGCGCACCCATCAGCAGTATCGGACGTTTTTTTTTTTTTTTTAATTTATATATTGCTCTAACAATGCTCACGAAATTTCGAAAATAATCATTCTCTTAAATTATTTCCGTACGAATCGGTATGTTACAATATTTTTGCAATTTTCTCACGAATTCGACGTTTAAACGATTTTATAATGCTGCCAGAATAAAAACAATTAGTGATGGTATAACATCGGTCTACGGTCTCTATTTGACCAGCGTATTTTCATGATGGTCGTTTACGTTTAAACTGACGAAAACATTAATCGAGTGTTAAGTGTAAAAACACACCTGGGTTTCGGCGGCATAGAAAAAAAATATTCCCAAAAATACCGTGGTGATTTGAACACCCCGTCGAGTAACTTGCGCATTTACTGTTTTCTTCATTCATTTCAGAAGCACTCGCCATTCATATCGTTTACGTACATTTTACGACCTTATAGAGCGCCGTCTCGTCTTACAAATGTTTACTGGATGTATTATAGTGGAGTGAGTTGGCTACTATAGCAATGCAATATATATTTTAAAAGAGAAAAAACTACACTATTGCGGATATATGTGTCATACACAGTGACGTGCGCAGGGAGGGGGGAGGTTAGGGGTTATATCTCCCCTACCACCGTGTTAAAATCTAAAAAAAAATATGAGTTATATTATGCCGAAATGCGTTTATTTTGGCCAAGTAACGAGGAAAAACTTGACAAATCGAATAGAAATTGGTCTTTTTGTAAGAACCGGCTTTTAAATTACCAATTCCCACAGTCAATTTGGGTAGAGAAGACGAATTTATGATTTATTCATGATTATTATTTGCTACATCCCTTACCATTGATAATTCTTGCGCACGCCATTGGCCATACAGTTGGTGGGTAGTTGGAAAGGCGGGTTACATAGAACATTATTTAATTTATATCTGTGTAAGCAACGATAAATCATCGTTACCGGAATACGGTTCTGCGCGTTGTTCGGTTAAACACGTGTTGAAATGTCGTGATTTTTACGATTTTAACGAAAATTCGAATTTAAAAATGTTCATACAAAACAATTACTACATTACGCTCAAGATTTTTTTTGTCCCAAAGTATAACCCGCTATATGACAAACCTCGTGTAAAATTCGTCATGCTGTGTTTTAACTGAATTAAAACAAAAAAAAACAATATCAAAAATAATCGTTATGCCTTAGCCTTCGTTTGTACATCTCTCTGCGCTCTTAATCTTGAATGGAGAACAATCAAATTAAAAAAAAATATACGTTTTTACTTTTACAGTTATAATTTTATACTTAACGACGAACTTTTAAAACTTTTTCTTTCGTCCTTATAAATTATTCAGTATTTTTCGCGCCCGTCTCGATGAGTATATTATTTATATTTTTAAGTGCAAATTAATCACAAAAAAACAAAAACAAAAAATAAAAATTTTTCCAATCAACTTTAAGATACTCGTTATTATTTATGTTCTTTTTTCCATTCGCAGTTTATACATTTCCTCTAATTCAATTAAAAGTATTTGTTAAATAATTACAATATTTTGACATACATTCATTAACTCTTTTTATAA